TAACTTACTGATAATTTCAAAAACTTTATGGATTTCTTAGCTCTCAAAATATTACAAAATAGTTGGTACTTTATAGGGCATTTTTGTGCGAGAACGGAGTTTAAAGCTGATACAGTCGAAAATATGTGTAATGTAAAAGAGAAAGAGCATAGCATATGCTTACGTTAGAATGAGATACAATGGCTAGACTGGGCTAGACCATACACGTGCACGCTTATAGACCTATATCGGGCTGACGTCAATCTTTTACGAAACAAATGCCGCTTATTATCTTTTGATTTTGAAGTATTAATAAGTATTTAAAAGGTGTGATTAATTGTGGTGACGTGTACCTGAATACAGTTCATCGAGAAAAGAAAATCCACAAAATTATACATTTCACACATATGTACAATTAAAATATTTAGCACTGGTACAAATGCTTTATACACAAATGTATTGGGAAAAATATAGCATTTTATATTCAATTTACGATTTAAGATTCAAATTCAATCTACGATATTTAGCAAACACTGAACAAAAATGTTTTCATTCAAGAAGTGCACAAAGAGTAAAGCTGCGTTCTCGTTCAATACCCACATTATTTAAGCCCGTGCCTGGTTTTCTTTATTATATATTTTACTGTAAATATGCTCATTGCGCATGTTCAAATATGTACAAATTGTTGTCGTCATCCTTATGATGTATATGTTTTATAAAACGAAAGTAACAAAGGAACTCACAGTATCACTTGATAAAAAACGGCCACTGCAGTACATGGTCACCTACAGTCGGCTTCAAACAAAAAAAGCTAATATGTTTTCACCCCTGAGGACAACTCTGGGAAAACTTACGTTCAGTATGAATTCCGAACGAGTTTTCCGAAAACATATGAAAGAATTTTTTTTAAATGAAAGTATGTTTCGAAAATTAGTAAATGAATGCCTTGTGTCCTGCAAAATAATTTTAACATACTTGACATACATATGTATAATTACCCGCAATATCAAAGCATAAACACTTAATTATTAAATTAATAATCAAAACATAATTGATTATTAGATTAAAGTATGAAGCAATATTGCAAAATACCTCTAAGGAGAGCTTACGACATTTTTATTATAAATTAATTATTTTTGGTGGAAAATAAAAATCACAAACTTTTTGTTTGTAGTTTTATATTTGTCCTCAAACATAAAAATATTCATTTTATGACACGGACACAGTGCTCTGCATCAATAATAATTATTCACTTATTACAATTCAATTATTGAAGTTAATACATGGCGCAGCACTATTAGTCTCGAAATTTAAAAACATTCTAAATCTAATTTCAATAGAGAAGATCGCGGGGTGCTACCATCTGCTTCGGATCCCAAATTAATAAAATTATATCCAAACACTGCAAGGCTTCAAGATACTGTAAGCTCGTTCTGTGTAAATCGGACCAAAATTAATAATTAAAAGATAAAGGTAGCCTTCGTTAACTATGACATCGGGACGTCAAACACTTCAATCCCTTCCGTGATCATGAGTGCTGGAAAGTGCCCAAAACGACGGGAATTAAAAAAAAATTAAACGCAATAAAATCCGTAAAATTAATTTTATTCCATGTTAGAAATAAAATTAAAGGTCTCCAAGTTGAAATGTCTTATTTCATTATATTGTTTCGATTTTTTTCTGAAATATGGTTTTAATTTTATATATCATAATATTATGTTATTCCTTTATTTTTTTCTGTAAGAACGACATATTTTAATGGAAAAATATTGTAATAATGACACAAGTGTGTACCGCATGGCTTTTTTATATATTATGTGAGCACAGTACATTTAAAACAAGAAGTTCATTAATCAATACAAACAACCTAATAAAGTTAATAAATTGAAACTGTTTTAAAAATACATGAAGTAACTGGTCTCCTGTAAAATGACAGTTTTTGTGTTATACTGTCTTGCAATAAGTGAGCGATATAATATATATCCTGCCAGAAGCAAATAATGTTAAAAAAATATAGATTGCTGCCCTTCTTTAACTAAAATTCTTTTCTTTTCTTATTCCTGATATAGAAACACGAGCTATGTAAGACACAAAAAGAAAAGAATAGTTGTTGGTTTAACCACAATAGGATCGGAGAAGGTGGCGGAGGTTAGGAGGAATAGAGCCAAAAAATGAAACATTGAAAATACATACTTCTTACATTTATTATATTATTACCAATATACACCTAACTCTACTTACGGACAAAAAGAAATATTCAAATCCAATAATAAACATAAATGAATATGATAAGAAAAGTAATTCGCTCATATAGTAAATACAAATAGATTAATACTTTTTATATGCTTTAATGGTAAACTAAATCTCTGCGAAAATATGAAATACTTCATATATAGAACTTTAAGAGATTTTTTTGTGTCTACGTACATTTATAACTGAAATATTAGATACAAATCTTAATTTGATCATAAGTTTGCCTCAACTTTTCTTAGATCTTAATTCATTCATTTTTAAGAATATTTTCGTAATTGCATGTTCAACATACAACAATACAACTAATTGAATTAATGGTGCTATATATAAAACAATGCACAATGCACATTACAATATTTTTATTAAAAAAAATACTCTTAGGGTTAATTTCCAAAAAATATGAAGAAAATCCTGATTACTCATGAGTATTTATATCTTTTTTTTTTTTTTTTTTTTATAGGAGAGGGGGCAAACGAGCATGCGGCTCACCTGATGGTAAGTGACTACCGCCGCCCATGAACAACCGCAACACCAGGGGAATTGCAGATGCGTTGCCGGCATTTTAAATATAATTTTATTAGGCCCATAACAACCTACTTTGGACTAATTTAAAAAAAATGACCAAATCATCACCCGTGTTGCCTTCTCAAAATCTAAAAAAATATTTTAAGAAGAAAATAAGGATTGTGACCGACTGCATTTTTAATTGGAATATCCTTAAATTGGATTGCTGTATGTCTAATAACGACGGTATAACTGGGCAGCTTGTAGTAATTTTAAAGGTTCCTGGTTTTTAATGCTTTCACTGTCTGGTTTTGAGACACAATAGTTAGACCATAGTAATGACCTATATGTAGTGCACGGGACAGCGAAAGGGTTTATATAATTAATTTTTTGAAGAAAAAAAAACTAAAAAGGAACATGGCAGTGGTAGATATAGACTTTATACCAGAAAAAATATTAGCTCTAGTATCATTCACTAGGCAGAAAGCAGAGAAATACTTTTGTATGGACTAAACGCCGCCTGGATATGATGTTAATGGCGCTCGTCAAGATGAGTGCCAAAGCCTAAACTTCCCCAAGTACATTTGAAAATCAAATAAACAATAATTAATATTTAGAAAATGCAAATTGTTACATGGAATGAATACATATATAATATATATAATTCAGTCATAAAATTACATTAAATAAACATTTTAAAAGCATATTCCGCTATAAATGTGACATACAACCTAAACCTGATAACTCAGTTTGAATGACTTCAATGTTTTAGTTTTACAAATATTATGTAAATTAATAATTATTTCACATTTCCAAGTTCACCATTTATAATTGTTTGAAATACCCTATAAAAATAATAATATAAGACAATTGTGTCGATTATGTAAAAACCAGAGGGCAACACGGGTCATCGGCGGACCGGAGGGGAGTAGCCATACGCAGGTGTTCCCCTGTGTCAAAGTACAAGTCCACGCAGTCCTATGCATACAATAAAAAAGTCTAGGTCCTACAAAATTGAGGAATTGTTCAGAATTGTTGCTGCAAAAGGATATCTGCCAAGTCAAATTAAGCATTACGTTTCATATATATAAGTAATTTTTAATCACATTATTGCTATTCGTGTCGTGTTGTTCCGTTTTTTTTACCAACGCAGGCCGCCTGCTCTCATACATTATGCGATATGCGGATCGGTGGAGTAACTGATCCGAGTTGTCGCTGTCTCTGAGCGAGTGTTTATTTATGTGTGTGTGTGTGTGTGTGTGAAATTGTTATTAATTGTTTAAATTGTTGTGTGAGTTTCGTAGTAAGAGACGATTGCTTTTGTTTGCGCAAATATCCCCGCACAAAAAATGACAAACAGCTCTGTAACGAGAAAATACGCTATGGCTACTCCCCTCCGGTACACCGGTGGCCCGTGTTACTCTATGTGTAAAAATATTTGTTATTGCTATTTTTATTTTAACGAATTAAATGTCGAGAATTATTAAATTATACCTAAAAACTCATATTTGAATATCAATCTGAAATCCTTTAATAAAGACGTATCCAAAACTTGTTCCTATCGAATATCTCTATTCCCTTCTTTGTTATCGGAACTCCTTAAAAATAATTACGCCTTGATGTTACGAAAGAGTTAAACATTTTATTATTTCATCATTATATTCTAATTCAATGAATTATTAATTTTATTAGAATAAATAGAAACACACCAAATAATTAATTAAAAATTAAAGAGAACACATGGACGTCTGTCGACAAGACATTGTTTTAAATACAATGACATACCAAATGCCATCACTGTGCTTCGCCATATTGTGCATAAAACTTTTTTACTGATTCTAGCAAATCCAGTATACTGTCAATACTCAATATCCATTACATAATATATTATGGTCATTATAGATGAAACGTTATATGTTTCAGCACATGTTGTTGATTTTAAGCTATGAATAGGTAGGTACAAATGACTTCTATCATCAATAAAAATTAAATCATTTCGCTTTAAATGACATGGTATAAAATCGTTTAAATATTAAGAATCATTACTTGGAACATCTTGAAGGCTCAATTAGCTATAATATGTTAAAGCGAGAGCCATATTGCTGCTGTAATATTCAATATTTTTAATTATGGCATAAAATTTATTAATTGTTATTACAAGTTTATAAAAATAAATTGAATATTACAGTGTTAGCCTATAAATATTATGAAGTGCAACGCGAGAACTTTTTGCGCGCGTTAGTGAAATAATATTTTTGGGCGGATTAAAGAATCCTGCACCCCTTTTTCTTTGGTGGTTCTGGAGGTTCCAAGGCCGCTAATATAGCTTCATCAAAAACATTCTTCAGCCCTTTCTGAAATGTAAATTTAAAGTTTTTAATGTTTATATTATGTAAAAATAGTGTCTTCCTAGTTAATATTAAATTCTTTTGCCAAATCTATGCCGAAAACAGACAGTAAGCTGCATAATTTTCTGATCGTGAAAAGAGAATATATGGTATGGTATGACTAAACCAACACGGTATACAAAATGTACCATAATTTTTTACAATAAATTTTAAGGCAGTTTCTTGATAAATGTGATTTGTAACTCTAAGAGGACTAGTTGTGTAAAAACAACTGGTTTATTGGTTTTATTTGGAAGTTAGTGACCAGTCAGTCCATAAGTGGTGAAATTACATCTCAATTCAGTGTTATAACACCATGTCTGATCTAAAACACTGTATTTACTAATGAACTGGTAATAGTGTTGTAATACGTTGTATATGTGTAAATGTGTTTTCCTGAATTGTTACAAACACGTTGTTGTTATAAAGGTGTTAGATTAGATGGCTATTTTTTATTTATATAACAACCAACGAATAATAACCAATTGTGATTGCCTACAACAACTCATAACTATTATTAGTTCATTGTTGAAACATTAATATGTTACCATATACAACATGTTGACTGGGAGGGAATGCCAAAAGGCATTAAGTCTGCCCATTTTAATCCTTTTAGTTAAGGTATACAATTAAGAATAAATAAATGCATGTGTTTAGTGACCATCAAGCGCTATCCCGTTCAATATGTTATGACAGTTTTGGTGGGTGAGTGACTAATCTAGTGGGTGTTATTGTATGTTAATAATTTATACATATACAGAACATTACATTTTGCGTATACCGAAATAGTTTTGGTTATGGTAATAGACCTATATTATGCTCTTACTCTAAAATGATTTACAAGAACAAACTACAAACCTGAGTAAGAGCTGAGCATTCCACATATTTGACAGCCTTTAGTTCCTTAGCGAGTTTCTCTCCTTGTTCAAGGGAGACTGGCTTTTGTTTTATTTTAGCAAGCTTTTCCATAGTAGCTGAATCATCTCGTAAATCAATTTGTGTTCCCACAAGCAAAAATGGAGTCTTCTGCTGATGATGAGTTATTTCTGGTACCCACTGTAGAAAGTAAATTTTTGTTACAAATATTGCAATTAAAAGAAAATTAATATAAATCTGTAGAAACATCATGAAGGCACCAAATACTTTTAAAAATAAGAAATACAATTTTCTTTATCGTAACACGATAAAAGAAAAGAAAAATATCATTTGTTTTGTAAGACAAGCCTATATCTTTCCATATAAGTCGGCACTTTAGGCTACCTAACTGATATTTTTGATTGCGTATTTAAAGGTGACTGGGCAAAAAGTCTCGTCAATAGTCAGGTGGATCCTAGGCAGCCCAATTTCGCCATTTACGTAACCCACAGAGGTCAAGTTCACTGTCTAACGCAACAATACTTCAGCCAATAATTTTGACAAATAACCTATGTGGATAGTCGACTACCGGTTCAATTCAAGATGTAATGTAGGCAATAGGTTGTAGCTCAATCCATGCCTATGCCTATGAGCTCTGCAACACACATTTTAACCAGCAACTATACTGGCATGTAATATTTATGGTTCATGCAGAGTCCATAAGGCATTTTGGAAGAAAATCGAAAAGTAATGTTTTACATAAACAAGGAAGGCAGAATCCAAACCAGAAACTTCTAAAATAAACTCTACAACACTTTCCAGTTCAAAAAAGTTTAACATACACCTTTAGTTCAATACTCTCCAGGCAAGTTCAATACAAAGTAGATGCTCTGTGTCGCCGAAAACCTTATCCCGATTAATATCATAACATTTAAAATTTTCTGAATGTAGGGTGCACTGAGCACCACGTGAACCTGGAATATGATTCAACACACATCCAGAAAAAGCAAGCACAACAACCTCAATACGTTTTATCATCAGTAGCGCTACTAACTAGCGTGGCAGTGCTCACTTAATTCCCAGCCTTAACTCAGAATAGAATAATTTTTATTCAATATTCATTACAATATTGAATAAAAACCAGTGCGTGTTGCCAGTGATGACCTATGGAACTGAGACGTGGTCCTTCACTGCTGGCCGGATGAGGAAGCTCAAAGTCGCTCAGCGAACTATGGAGAGGACTATGCTCGGAGTTTCTCTGCGTGATAAACTTAGAAATGAGGATATCCACAGTTGAACCTAAAGTACTAAGAAAGCTGAAGTGGCAATGGGCCGGCCATATAGCTCGAAGAACCAGCATCAAGCAAAGGTTCTCGGGTGGCGGCCTCAAACCGTCGGACGAAGTATAGGGCGTGAGGCCACTAGATGGAGTGACGACCTGGTAAGACATGCAGGAAGTTGATGGATACAGGTGGCTCAGGACCGTGCTTTGTGGCATTCCTTGGGGGAGGCCTATGTTCAGCAGTGGAATGATGATGATGATGATTGATTACAAGTAATTTTTATTGGAATTTAGTTTATTTACTTTACCACTGGTTCGGAAAAACCTCCGTCCTGGGAAGAACCAGCAAGAAATCCAGCAGGATCTTTTTTTAAAATAATACAATATAAATGGTTACAAATTTTTTACAAACTACTTGGAAGCGACCACCTCATTCCCAGGGGTAGTTATCAACCATGTATTCATTTAATCTTTTTATACAGTTTTTGTTTTATTAAATAATTAAACTTGGTAATAGAGAGACCTTGTATATTTTTTAGGACTTTGTTGTAATAGCATGGAATTAGGTATTTATATTATGTCTCATCCTGCAAACATATGGAAAATAAAACTAAACCCATCCAGAGAAAGTCGTTTGACCTTTAAGTAATAAGTGGTTCGTGGTTTAACATAGCAGTGCACGTATAAGAATGTTGCGATCTTTAGAAAAGGTTGTAGTTCTTGGAGCCATCTGTAAATATTTTTAGTTCTCCAAGGTTCAGTTCAGACCTTCTAAGTGGTCTGTTTCATTTAATTGTATTTTGTATTTCTTATCAAATACAAACTGTTTAGGGATGCTGTTAAACTTGGCTTGTAGGATAGGAATTTCATTATACAAGTATATTCTATTAGTTAAGCCTGTATGAAAGGTATCTTACTGTTGCTCCAATGGTTTAGAATTTTGAAAATTTTGATGGCAGCTAAGGTTGCTTCTTGTTGTTTGTATATATAAAGCGGAGTAAGCTCCAGAATAGTCTCCATGGTTACCGTTGGAGTAGTTCTTAGACAGCCTATTGCAGTCATACAGGCCAATCACCACAATACTTTATATACCAGACATGTATGAGAGGCAGTCATTTGTATTGGTAGTACACAATCATATCATGTATTAAAACATATACAATTCTGGCTTAACCACACACTGGATTTAGGCAAGCTAGAAAAGCTCAAACTATCATTAAGTTAAATATTTCTAAAAGATTACTGACTGAACAAACTTCATTTACTGGTCACTAGTGCCACAACAGAATGACTCTTTTAATGAAGATCTCTATGCTTAGTGTTACAGACAGCTCTTTGCGTAGAACCAAGATGGATCAGAGTCCACATTCTACTTGATTGCCCAGCAGTTGCCAGCTACAGAGCTTAGTATTTTACATCACCGAGGTTGATCCCTGAGGTAATGGGTCGAGGAGAGAAGCTAGGGTAGCTTAAATAATAGTTGTTTTCTACTCAAACACAAAATACTTACTTAGATGTCAAGTTGCGGATACTAGCCTGGATCATTTAGTTAATGAATATAAAATATTCATTATTGCTGCCATGACATGCTTGTAGGTCAAATAAAATATTTGATTTGATACCATATATTATTTGATACCTAAGAAATTGCAGTGTTTTATGAAATAAGTTAACGTAATTTATTAATCACAGTAATCACACATGCAATTGTTAGGATCTTTGCCAAAGCAGTGGCAGTTTAATGATGCACTTCTTGAAGAAACAGCTGAACAGGAGGCAACAAATTCTTTAAAAGCATTTTGTACTGTCTCTCGTGTATTGAATTTTTATCCCGCCAAAAAGTTATCCAAATTCTGGAGTAGGTGCAGTCTGGTGAGTATGGCGGATGATGAGAGAGCTTCCAACCCTAACTCTTGTAACATGGATGCCGTCTATTATGCAATATGAGGGCCGTGGACGCGCGTTGCCGTGTAGGAGCAACGGGGACGTGCGATTGACCAAAGTTGGTTGGAGACGTGTGAGCTTCTCCATGATTGTCTTCCATTATTAACAGTACACATCTGAAGTAATACTCATCCCAATTGAATCAAGCCGACACATGACCACCAAATTGTAACGTTTATCGCATTGTAGGTGCCGAACCAGGATCCAACCTACTTGCTGAGTGCTTACAATTGTCAAACAGAATCTTTTTTCCGTGGCAGGTAACAATGTGGTTCAAAATTCCTTCGTTTGTGCGCCTTGTTGAGTAGTGCAAGGCACGTCTCGACGCGTACTTCGCGCTGGCGATCATTGAGTTCGTCGGGTACCTATTTGTCAAGTTTTTTTACCTTGACAATTTGACGTAAATGGACCAATATTGTTTTGGTGCCAACGTCAAAAGTTGCTGCTAATTCAGCCGTAGATTAAAGTATCATCGACTTTCACAATCGGCTTAAATTCATCATTTTATACCAAAGTTTTCGGACCATCACGGGTTTCATTTTTCAGGTTGAAATATCCAGAATGGAAGCGGGCAAACCAATAACGTAAACGTAGTTGATGTTGCGTACCGCTTGTGTTGCGTTGCTGCCACGATAGGATGATGCAACTCTGTATGAAATCCGAAAACCTTCACACAATCATAAATTTATCTATGTGTGGATTGGGCGTATAAAATTAAAGCGAGAAAAAGATATCGCTGTTTCTTTCTTTCGCGTTGTTTCAGTTTGCCATTATAAAAATTAGATATAAAATACATATAACATCGGAAGAAACTGAACATGTTAATTCTGTGTTAAACATTTTTTGGTTGCTCATTAGAGTATAATTACATACATGCATATTACTCTGAGATTTGCTCAATCAATTCACCTATTAATTGATTAAAATTGGATAATTGAATGTACTGTTCATTTGCTTGTCAATGTCTTTCATATTGAAAATATTTTCTAAAATTTATTCAAATTTATTTAATAGGATTAGATTTTAATATTTGTTATTGCATTTTGGTGAAATTCAGTTATAAGTTCAGAATTTATTAACTTATTCAGTAAGTGGTTCAGAATACTTCAGTTTCGTTTATAGGTATTTCTTCACGATTGTGTGTATAAATGTGTGGTATATGTTGTGATATGTTGACTTTGTATGATATATTGTCTATAAAATAATATTATTATTAAAAAAAAATATGCACGATATGTGATCAGAATCGAAAGTAAATTAAGCCTTGTGCAAACAAAAAGCACAAAATCGTCTGATCACTTCAGCAGGTTTCCTAAAATAGAAGAAGAAAAACTTTTGACAATATAGTCGTAAGTTTTAAGCATTTTGAATTTATTGATCATTATTTGTAGGGATTATTACTATATTAACTCAATTTTTTTTCTGTTTCAGGTCATGATATTTGGGCTAAGCTAAGTTTTTAACATGAGAATTTTTGAAATCTAAATTTACATTAATGTTCTGTGAAGATTAACTCTCACAATAACATATGTTATAAATCAATATTACGGGTGAAAATATTATCTGCAAAAGCTATAAAAAACATCAATAATAATATATAGTGTATAAAACAATATTTTCCAAAAAATAAAATTACATAACTCTATCTATTTTTAGTTTTATTTTATCCCACATACTCCTCTAAAGTAAATTCGAGTAATTCTGGTGCAACCTCTCAAATGTATGGGAATTCACCCAATAGGTTTGTGAGGCCCGAGCCAAAATTACTCAAATTTGCCTTAAATAAACAAAATGTTTAAAAGTTACAGAATACAAGGTTTGAAATTCCCACTAAAAAAAGTTTTATATGGGCGCTCACCGTGGCGCTTTTAAGTGTACACTCAAAAACACGTGTTTCCTTTTTTAGATAGAGGGTAGTTGTGTTCCGTGGTACTCATATTCCATAATTACATAACACTAATTAATAAACAAATGACTCATTTTGAAGAAAGAATTCCATGGTTTTAAAATAAAATTAATTTGAAATTAGAATTCTTAGCCAAATAAAAACTATTTTTATTTGAAATAGCCAGGTACTGCAGAACAGCAATTTCATAGGTAAAGACCTATTATACATTTCTACATAACATTTCCTATGTGTGACAGGAAAAACACAATTAAAAGGTTATTTATAAATTTTTAGACTAAAATTATTCATGAATTAAATTATAACGACAATATAAATTTGAAACAATCTATAATATATATCTACCTATAAACCATCTCCTAAACGGATTTAACAGTGTGCTAAAGTTAAATGTAATATGTAAATAATCACCTTTTCCTTCACATTTTCGAAAGAACTCGGGCTCACCACACTGAAGCATACAAGGAAAACATCTGTTTGTGGATAACTCAGAGGTCTTAGTCTATCATAATCTTCCTGGCCTATGAACAAGAAAAACTGCAATTATTTATAACATCCACACTTAAAATTTTAAGAATAAAAGGTGTCTTGTGAATAAAAATAAGAGAAATTACATAATTCTAAAACACCATCATGGTTGTTAATGCTTGTATGAAAAGTAAGCTTGCATTACTTTTTACTCCCAGTCACTAACCAAGTGGGATGTTTAGGAAATGCATTAGGAAGTTTTGTACTAAAACGTGTCAGAAAAACTATGTAATAAAATTGCTCCTGGTGACATTCCTGCTTACTAAGTAATACAATTTAACTGGAGCAAGCTAACCAAAGGTGTCATGATTCTCCAATAGACACCACAGCTGATGGAGTAAAGAGTTTCATACCCTGAAATACCATAATAATATGTATGTTTATCAACAATGTTGGGATCATCCGACGAGAAAAAGCCCACTCCCATTGGTAGGATACAAAAAACACCGCTCTATAGTTCCATACATGGCGGCCCGCAGAACGCAAAACCTTATGACACAATACCATAAGAGATGAAAGAGTAGAGTATCTTGGGTATAGCTGCTTATTGGGCATAAACTATTCATACTGGTGCACTCCTAGGGTAGTTTCCCATTCAATTTTACTACCATGACTTTTATAATACATGTTCTGGTTACCTGCATTTACCAGGCGAACTGTAAAAGTAATGAACACTTCACGCCGGTGTATTCTGTGAGGCTGTGTGAGGACTTTTTGGTTTGAGCATCTATGCCAAAACAAAAAAGTCATTGTTTTGCTCTAACATGAAATGAAATGAAATGGGTGGATTTGACCTGATGGACCTTTCAATTCATTGTTATAAAGTTATGAAAGAATCTTTCTTAAAAATTTATAAAAATATGGGTATATTTACCTGCAGTATCAAAGAGTCCTAAGGTGTATGGTTCTCCACCAATCATAACAGTTACTGCATAATTGTCAAACACTGTTGGCACATATTCTGATGGAAACTTGTTTGTTGTGTAGCTAATTAGAAGACATGTTTTACCGACAGCACCATCGCCAACTACAACGCATTTAATAGTCTGCATGATGAAGTACTGCCTCAATAATTTGCAATACAAATTTTCTTAGATAGTTGCTATCTATTGTTTAAAATTTTGACAATTTTCCTTTCATAGCACCCTCAATGGGGGACAAGTGCCTGTGAACAAAACAAAATCTAATATGAAATATTTATTTCTACTATTTGTAAAAATATATTGTATACCACTATAAACCTATACACAATAATTATAATACCTTTTTATATATCTTTGTATATATATATTAGGCTACTATGTCAGATACATACATAAGACCCATTCACAGTATTCTAATAATTGGATACCAACTGGGACCATTTACAATGAAGTTTTACATTCAACTGTTAGGGTGGTAGGTATTGTGTATCAGCTCTTGTTACTATAATTATTTACAGAAGGTAGGTATTATGTATCATATCATAAATAAAGCTGTTTAACCTAATTTATTTATTTTAATTTTTATGAATAAATAAACATAAATCATAGTATTCCGAATCAAGAATATTTTGCCAGTTGTATGGTCTTTATAATTAAAATAACATGTGTGGGCTGACCAAAGCATTGTCAAAAAGGCAAACAGTTTTGTATGCAATTAGCTCAGATATTCTCAGTGTCTTACTTCAGAAACATTGGTCATATAAACATACATGTGACTGCTGATAGAGTATAGATTTCTATTTTGATTGATGTACTCCAATTTAGTTAATTTGCTGGAGAGTGTACAAATAAAATCTACAAAAATTCCATTTTGCCTTTGCAAGCAGCTATATGAAGAGACATTAAAAACATTAAACCTAACTATGCTGAAATGTTACTTTGCTTAAATCTTATTAAAACATACAAATACTAACCATTTGTTCGTTAGTTATAACTGTGAAAATCTGTTACATATTTTTAACATCAGCAGTATCCATAGAGCTGGACATACTAACTACATGAGATGAGCTCATTCATACCTGCTCGCTCATACACTAATGTGGCTTATCACATATGAAACAACAGTGTCATCAACATAACATGGAACAAGTTGCCTCAAGATGTGGTTGAAGTTTTAAAAACTAATTGGACAAATGGTGCAAGATAGTCAAATTTAGTGTAGCCTTATTGTGGACTTGGACTATTATAAAACACAAACGTAGATATAGGCATATTACATAATAATAAAATAAGATGACATTGATGATTATTAAGGATGAAGGATAGATGGAAATTTGTTGTGATATAGCAATATATCATATTATTACATATTAAGTAGTGGTCATATAAATAGAAACACTGCTTATGAATAAAGAAAGTATAACTTCAACGTACAATTGTTTGTAAAAAATATACACAATTAAAAAACTCACTAAAAGCATAAAATATAAAACATATCTTACTTTTAATTACAAAATGAGTCTTACACGTGTAGGAGTTTATTTTCTGTTACGGGGGGCTTGGATGCATAATTAGAAACATTTAAAGAAAGCATCCATAGCTCATTCTAGTTTTGAAATTAGAGAATAACATTTCTTTCTTGGCTTTTTCTATTATTTTGGCGGAAATTCAAAATTTAATCTGAATTTTATTTTGTTCAAAATGGGCAAAAATAAAAGTTGTGATGCGTAAACTAGGCAAATAATTGTTAATTTACATATAGATCATAAGTAAGTACAGAATAATAGGTGAGTATTTAAATTGTTCTGTTAAAAAAGTTTTTAATGCAACTGATCATTATAAAACACATGGAACTATTGAAAATGTTCTTAGAAAGGCTCGGCCAAGAAAAACCTCTCCCAGAGAAGATACGCTAATTGTTCGTGTTTCTAAAAAAGACCCAAGGCTCCAACCAGATTAAAAATGAAGTTTTTCGCCTGATGACCCAAGAAACATCTCATCAAGACTGATACGCCGAAGATTAGTGGAAGTTAAATTGTTTGGAAGAATCTCTCGAAAGATACTGCTTCTTACCAAGGAACACCGAGAGAAACAATTATTATTCACTAAAAATATGTTAGTTGGACAGTACGAGAATGGAAAAAGTGTTATTTTCAGATGAAACAAAAATAAATATGGTAAATTCCAATGGAAAGCGCTATGTTGGACGTCCTGTAAACAATGCTTTTAATTATAAATACACAAAGAGTATAGTCAAGCACGGTGGCAGTAACATTAAAGTTTGGGGGTGTTTTTCTGGATGTGGAGTTGGACCCATTCGGAAGACTGAAGGTACAATTGATCAATGGCAATACAAAAATATCTTGTATTGCCATTGATCCATTCAATGATTCCCTACTCGGACAATTATTTGCCTGTAACCTGGATCTTTCAATATGGCAATGACCCTAAAAACGCGGCCAATAGCGCCCAAATGTTTCCTTAGTGAACAGCATCTATCCGTTTTAGACTGGCCAGCAAATACTCCGGATATAAACCCGTTAGAAAATCTCTGGTATATTGTTAAAAAGAAAGTCTCAAACAAACGTAACACCAGTCAAAACGAACTATTTGAGGCATTTGTTGAAGCATGGAATTCAATCCCCCTAGAAAAATGTATGAAATTGATTGTATCAATGCAACATCGTTGCAGTACTGTTATTGAAAATAAGGGATATGCCACTAAATATTATAACTATTGGTAGGCTGTGGATAGTAGCTATTTCGTAAATATCAATACTAATTACTAATACTTAAAAAAAAATTGTTTTTTGTTGTTGTTTCTAATTAGTTAACCATTATTGTTCATACCTTAAAACTGATTTAAATGTTTGTCCATAACGTAATATTGAAACTGTATTTGTGTAATGGGATTTATATTGTTAAATGATAAACCGTTGAACATATTGTTGTCCTATTTATTGTTTAATTTCAAAATAAAAATGATTGTGGTGAAGTATCTTACATAATGTCAAGGACCTTTGGTAGTGTTTCTAATTATACGACCACCACTGTATATAATATGATATATCATCATGTAAAAACACCTAGCAGCAATAAGATATCTTATTCTACACTATGTTATACACATACACAGTGCCAATGCTCACGCACTAACAATATTGTCAATTCCAAAAAATCAAACATGATATTTAATGATAAAAAGATGGTAAAGTTTTACAATTTATATTTAAGTATGACATACTTTAATTATGACTTCAGGTTTAATCACCAAATATTCAGTACAAATTCGTAAAACTTATTTGAAACATATCCCATGCATGCTTAATCGGAATTAAGTGCTGGAATTGGACTGGGCTACTCGTGTCATCTGACTTCCATTTGCAACTTCCATTTTTAATGAGAGTATGTAATCAAATACACAATTCTATATGGTTTAACTTTTTGAAATAAAAGTAAACAAAAAATTTACTTTTAATATTAAGTAAAAGCTAACTTCAAAGAACTAAAAAAATTTAATCATTTTTGATTCTGAAAGGTGTATAGAATTATGGTCCCGATGACCATAATTTTATATACCTTCCTTACATTGGTTCTTTGAAGTTAGCTTTTACTTTTTTGTAAGTCCATTCAACTCAATGTTATCTAAATACTGACAATTAAAAACTTCACCTCTATTTTGTCATCAACACAATTTTTGTTCCAAATTTATTTGCTTTAAATTTATTTGTCAAGTTATGCATTTTCGTTTGTTGAGATGATACAATTCGCAAAAGCATTCACACATTGAAGTAATATGTACTACATACTAGAGGAGATGCCAAGATTTGGTTATTTGCAACACGTGTTAAAGCCCGGGCTCAATCTTACTTAGTCTACACCATAAAAAGGTGTGCCTTTTTCAACGCACCCTACACACAGATGTTGTGTGCAGTTCTATTCTAGTACATATCACTTCAATGATATAAAAAATTCTTTGAAAATCTTTGAGTTTCTTCTTCTTTATTACGCCACAAGTCTATAACTGTACATGGTCCTCTCCCTCTCTTGTATGGAGGATTCACACCTGGAAGGGAAATTGCACTACTAGACTTCTCCCACCATTGCAAGCGCTTTCCACCCCTGGTCTAAAGTAGAATTTACACGGTCACGGGTGAAGCTTTTTATGATACCCATGGGATAAAATGTGGTGATGGATTTTCTCACACCGTTTAAAGAAAGCAACACATCATTTAGAGTAACTGCTCTATACATCATGCCTCCTCAATTTGTGAGAAGTTTTAAGGCAAGGAATGTCCCCTGCACTGCCCCATAGTCTTGGCCGACTTAACATGATGTCTTAGAAATATTTTCTTTATTTCTCTGGCATACAGATTCACTCATACAGCACACAATAGTACACAATCTTCAAGTTTAATTATGTGTCCCAAACCATAAAAATACACAAAATCTCCAAAGGTTTAACATTCAAGTTTTCAAATTTGGAATCAGCACAGCAATTTGTGATTTTAAAAATTTTAACATTTGAAACAATTTTTATTGTATGCTTATTTATGAGTAATATTGAATGTCCCCTGCACTGCCCCATAGTCTTGGCCGACTTAACATGATGTCTTAGAAATATTTTCTTTATTTCTCTGGCATACAGATTCACTCATACAGCACACAATCTTCAAGTTTAATTATGTGGGCCAAAACATAAAAATACACAAAATCTCCAAAGGTTTAACATTCAAGTTTTCAAATTTGGAATCAGCGCAGCAATTTGTGATTTTAAAAATTTTAACATTTGAAACAATTTTTATTGTATGCTTATTTATGAGTAATATTGAAAGGTTTAAACAATCTTTAACCCCATTAGATTGAGCTCAATTTAAAAATATTCATTAATAGCAAGTCTAATTTACAGGTAAAGATAATTATATTAAACAGAATATCATTTAAAAAATAAAAAGTTCTAATTCATTATGTCCTTCACCTCTCAGTATTCACCATTGATTTAACTTCATAACAAAACGAAAACACAACACATTTCATTTTAAGTGTTACAAAATAAATATGTATTTTATATAAATATTACCTGTTCTGTCAAAAATGAACTTAATTCAAAAAAGAATCACCTTAAAAAC